TACAGGGATGCTGTTTAAAAATCTCATTGTTGGGCAACAACTGGGGAATCGAAGGAAAATAAGGCAACTTTAGACAGTCATTTATACCAAACTTGATGAATAATTGTAACCAACGTCAGTAGTTTCATTGGATCGAATAAAAGAGGCAATCAGGTAGGCCTCAGAATCCTTAGAAGCATGTAAAAGAACTTAGTCACCCTAGGTCACTTAAGCGTGAATCTTATACCGAATATGAGTAGTATGTTTACCCCCTCGAAATTTGCACTCTCCCTGCGATTTAAGAGAGGCCTTCTTTTGTCCCGAAAGTTATGTCTGGCCTGTGAACCACTTTTACACAATACCCGAATAGGAATACCACTGGAATTACTGATGGGACCCAGGGAAGGTCAAAATTACAGTCGAGTCTAGAAGAGTAAACCTTTTGGCAGGCAAGGCTAAGTAAAATTTATTTGAATCCTGAAGCTTACTCATTTTATTGTGGGAAAAACTCCCCTACCAGCCCTCAAGTTATCTTTATTGATCCCTGATAAATATTTTATCATTAAAACAGTTGATAATAATTTCGAACTATATTCATACCAAATTATAGATTTGTGTGTTGGCGTAAGCGAAGTATCTCGCTTTCATCACTCAAAACCGGATTTTAGATTCCGACATGACCTCAAATAAAATTGATAGAGTCTATACAACTGGAGCCGAGTACGCTTTAAAATAGACTCCATGTTAGTCTGCCTCAACAACCTCAAGCCTTCTGGAATGCTAAAGGACGAATTCTTGAAAGATTGTGATGCTTTGCAACATCGGATCGTGCATGACTCATGGCTAGATATGTAAATTTACCTTGCACTACTTCCCAGTCATTATCTGCCATGTTCTCTTGAACTTCCAAATTTCGTGTGACATCTGAAAGCGGGTGGCGGACTTTCATACGAAATAAAAGTCCCTCCAACAAAGTTAACTCAAGAGATTCATCGAAACTCAGTTTCTCTTTGTATCTAAAATGTACATAAGATTCGACTTCTAGAAAAGCACATCTGCTCTGTGACCCAGTAGCATGCGTAGTTATATAGGGGAGTGTTACCGTGTCTTTACCATACACATAATCCGGTCTCGAGTTCCACTAGTGGAGCTGATGAGACAGTGAGTCAAGGGCGAAACTTCGATCCAGTCTGGATGATAAAACACATTAACTGGCTAAAAGGAGTAGAATTTACTGGCTTCTTAAAGCCTATCCATTTCTTTTTGGTTGTTCAGGCATTGCAGGAAATGATCCTACGTGACTCGGGCTGCTAAGCTCCAATTTAAGAATTAACTATAATCTGGAATGCTACTTATATCGAAACTAAGTAGTATCGTCGATTGCAATGGCCGAGTAAAATTCAATGAAAGCGTGAGATCAGCTAATTGTCCTCAAACCACTTCCCTTACCAAGCTTTATTAAATTGTATTCTTTTCTCCCCTCGGGAGTAACCTAAAAAGGACTGTGAATTCATACTGTCGCCTCACAAATCAGTCACTCTTCATTTTATTCCCCGACAGCGGAGCATCCGTTGAGCTGTATTGAGTGCAGATCAGACAAGCACCGGTTCTGTGATGATCCCTTCAATGCGACCGCTTTGAAACATCGGCTTGTGGGCACTGTTGAATGCCTCGGCTTCTGTGTCAAATGGATCCGCAGGCCATTGAACGCACCAGGCAAGCTGTAGCTGTAATCTATAAACTTTTGATCTGTTCTGATCCAACTCCGTTTTGTCAAGGAAAACAAATAAGTAGGTGAAGATCGGGAAAATTAAGCCTAGAGATTTTTTTTCAATTACTCCCTCCATTTTAAACTGAAAGTTAATTAATATAGGACTATAGTTTTTGCCATAAAATCAAATTATTTATTTTTTCAAAGATCTTTACTTATTGCATATTTTCATAAGATAAGATATTACTACAATTGAACTCAATGTAAGCAATCTGACTCAAAATTAAGTAAGCTAGTCCAGCTTAACTCAAAATAAGCTAGCAATCATATTTCCATTCTTCCTCAAGAGCACCCTTTAGCTTCAATCGAGTATAACTTATAATCTAGCAGACTTGCAGCAACAGTAGGGTGAATTCCTCTCATGTATAAGATTTTCTGGTAGTCTCGAAAGCCTACTTGTATTCAAAAATTTATTGTTTTATGCCACTTTTTTATTTGTTTTCTTGAATGCCTAATTCTATTAGAGTAGTATTTTAGTAAAATAATGTCGTTTGGTTCAGCTTCGTTAGCCTTCATCGTTAGCTCGATGAGCCTTTTCTGATCGTAAAGAAGATGGGAATGTTATACGTATTTAAGCTCCTGCTACTAAGTAAAACAGTCATGGTAAAAGTAAATAACTTAGAGTATTTTGTAGTATCTAATGTTCAATGAAAAATTTAAGCTAGGCGATGGACTTAACTCCTTCCCATATGAAATAATATTAAAGCCATTTGATTGTTCTTGCGGAGTTGCGTTTGCGCTTTCATAGTATTCAAAACTGGGCGATCTTTAGCGTCGGAGTCGGAAGGTAACACTTGATCAGGAATGTACAATTATGGCTTGATTTTTCAACGATGCCAAAAGTCTAGGCTCGACGTACCAATAAATTTCGACTAACATTGAATCAAGTGGGTCGACTCATCGTGGACTATTGAACTTGGATTGGATCATGCCTGCC